AACTTTTCCCAGTAGGTGCTGAGAAAAATGAAAGGCATGCAGTGTCCATTTCTGCTGACTTCCCATCTTGCTGAACATAAGTGCCAAAGTCATTGCTGTGATCTCTAATGCTCTGTGTCATGCAAACGAAGTAGGTAACTTAAATTTTCTGGTAACCACGTTAAAGGACTAAAAAACAAAAAACCCAGGTGAAACCAATTTTAATGATACAGTTTATTTAGCCCAATATATCTTTGATGGATATCTTATCATTTAAACTTGCAACCAACATAAAATTATTAATGAAGTACTTCACACTCTTTGCTGTACCACATCTTCAAACTCCAGTGGCCTTGACACTAACTGCACATCTCAATGCACGGTCACATCTCACGTGCTTAACAGCCACATTTGACTAGTGGCTACTGTACCGGACAGTGCAGCCTTGTATGATCCAGCCCCCACTACCTCTGTGACATCATTTTTACCACTGTCCCCTCTCTCGTTCCCCTTTAGCTACACTGGCCTCATTAGTCCTTAATAAAGCATGCTATATAAGGGTCCATGTGCCCACTGTCCCCTCTGGTGGAATATCCTCCCCAGAATATGCCATATCACTCATCCCTGAACATCTCTGCTCAAATATCACTTCACTACAGCAGCCTTCCCGATATCCTATATAAAACCCCACCCACCCTGACGTATTTCTTGTTTATCCATTCATTGTCTGTCTCTTCTACCAGAATGCAAGATCCCTGAGGGCAGAGAACTTGTCTTCTGTGGGCCCCATTCCATACCTAAAACAATGTCTAGTGAGACGGACATTTGTTGATGATTCTGTGCACCGGTTCTATAGAGTAGGTTCTGTAATTCTGCATTTATAGTTGGCACAGTGAGACCCTGGAGGTCAGTAATGTGAGAACCGGGTGGCTTACCCGGGGTCATGCAGTTGCTGGGTTGCAGTCGGGACTTGAACCTGGGTCCTTCTGCATTCCAAACACAAGCTTTTAACCAGCGCATCAGAAGCTTGTTCTCAGCAGGAGCCTGGGTCTGGCTGCTCTCTGGGTGTGATCCTGACCTCCTGGGTGGCTCAGTGGCTTCCTGCCCTTCCTGCTCTGCCCCCAGGTTTCCTGCTCTTCTACTGGGGAGGCGGGCTCACCTATCTCCCAGAGAGCCTTCTTTTGCCTGCAGTGAATTGTGGGTTCCCATGGTCTTTTCATATAGTGCATTTCGTCTGGTTTGTGTCATCAAAAATTCCTCATCGATTCTGCTCTTTGACTTCACCGTCCTGTCATCAAGTGCAGCAGCAGACGTTTTCACTTGTTTTAATAGGCCTCTGGTCATTC